AAAAAAAAAAAAAAAGGAAAAAAAAAAAAAAAAAAAAAAAAAAAAAGCAACAAAAATACGGGCATTGACTGGCGTAGTTAGAGTAAGTGCCGCCCGGTACCGGCCATTATTTTTTCAACCCGCCCTACGAAAATAACAACAAACAAATAAACAACAAACCTATCGCATTTGACCCCCCCCCCCAAAAAAAAAAAAAGCACGGGGCTGATCGCCCCCCTCTCTCCCCCCCCCCTTTTTCCTTGCTATGTCTCTGTGGACATTTGGGCTGAATGTCTTCTTCCGTGGGTAGAACAAATGAAAGAGAATATGGAGCTTTGCTTTGACGCGTGCAGGTCTGAGGTGCGTGAGCCTAAATGCTGCAAATGAGTCACCCTGGCGGCCCAGTGACTTTGTAATTATTCTAGACCGAGGAAAGGTCCCCAGTAACCCTCAAAAAAAGGTGTGTGGAGCTTTACCAGGGGCGTGGGGAAGGGGATGCTTTTGGGGGCGGTCGGCCCCAGGATGCAATTTAGTTCCTTTATGTGAAGGGGCGGCGTTGTAGACCAAATGCAAAATCTTGGCCCACCCCGGGCGGCAAAAATTTTGGCATTCCTCAGTTTGCATCGACCTCACTGGGCTTTACGGTATTTAAAATAGGCCTATCTCTAACTCCAATTTTCCACAACTTTTCCCAGATTATCATTTCATTAGGCAAAATATTCTGTTTCCTCAGATGATCCTATTATTTCATTTAATCAACAATGATAATGTCTAGTCATAAAAAAACATGACACCAAATAAATGACTAATAAACTCTTCAAGAACATCATCGGGACATGGGGGCTCTACTGCCTTAAATAAAATTACGGATGTCAAAGTCATGATTACCGCCGAAAATAGCAAAAAATTTTATTTAATTTTATTGTAAAGGCGTGGCAGTGACGTCACAATGGATCCGGCTACGACAAGGGAGATCATCACACACGAAAACAAATGTGAAAACGGGTTTACAATTCTTTCAAAAGAGGACATTCGTAAACGGACTGTATTGAAGCCCTCGTAATCTATTAACATTTTTAGTAATTCAACCATTGCGATCCTCTTTGCTTTGACCCTTTATTGACTAGTCTACTACAAGGGGCCACCCACTGTGTAGTGAGGAGTGGTACGTAGTGTAGTTTGAGTTCAGTAGTTTGGCATCTAACAGTAACTGTACTGTGTTAGTGTAAAGTAAACTGTAACTGTGTTAGAGTTAGAACTGTAGGCACTGAAACTGCAGTAAGAAACTAATCACCGTTAAATCACTAAATCACTTAGACTTAGTTGGCTTAGGCTTAGGCCTAGAAACGACTTATCAGCTAGGTCTAGGCCAACTACTATTTTGAGTAGGACTTATTTATATATAATATATAATCTAATTAATTATTAATGAGTTTCTAAATTAATTCATTTATATTAAAATTTAAAATAAATACTGTTTAACACTGTTTAATTTACCAATTTTCAATTATATTATTTACTTATACTTATATAACTAAGACTAAGTTCTTACTCAGTGTAAGTATGTAATAGGCTATAACAATAGGCATATGACATTTGGGTGGGGGTGTAATAATAAAATTCATTAAAAGAATAATTTTAGCAATCATCATATTTTCAATGAAAAAATTAAAACTTTCGTGATTGTCTTGGATTTAAGTTAACATTAACAGTTTACAGAACTTACGGCCGGGGAACTCGCACTGTTGCAAATAACTTACTGATACTGACTAAGTGTAAGTAGTTAAGTAGCAACTTACAAGTTAACTATGAAAGAAAGCTAGACTTACACTTAAACTAAAGTTACAGAGTAAGAGTAAGCTAACAACTAAAACTAACTCTAACAGTTTATTTTTTTAAATTTTTAGTTTCATTTTCATCATACAACATAATTACATTATTTTTTAGCCTGCCTACTGACATTCGAGCTGAGCTTGATCGTCTTGATGCCCCTCCCCTTGAATTGCCTCCTTTCCCTTGTCTTACTTCCCATTTTAATATTTTTAAACCTGTTTCAGAACTTGAGGTAAAAAATATAATCCTAAAATCTAAACATACGTCATGTTATTTGGATCCCATCCCAACCCCCCTGTTGGTTGAGTCATTAGATATCTTGCTCCCAACAATAACCCGCATAATAAATGAAAGCTTATATTCTGGCACTGTTCCGCCTCTTTGCAAATCAGCTGTCATCAAACCATTGCTTAAGAAGCCCGGTCTGGATGAAAATAATTTAAAAAACTATAGACCTGTATCTAACTTATCATTTTTATCTAAAGTTATTGAAAAACTAGTCCTAAAACAACTTTTTGCTTACTTAAATGATCACTCTCTTCTCAGTTCTAATCAGTCGGCCTATAGACATTTCCATAGCACGGAGACAGCTCTCTTGAGAGTCAGTAATGACCTCTTGCGCGCAATGGACAGCGGTAATGTCTCCATTTTGATCCTCTTAGACCTCAGTGCGGCCTTTGACACTGTTGACCATGAAATCCTTTTCAAAACCCTTGAAAACTACTTTGGAATTTCTGGTTCGGTTTTGGCTTGGTTTAGGTCCTACCTCTCTGATAGAACGCAAATGGTCTCTGTCGATGGCTGTCTCTCCGGCAGTGCTGATTTGGTGTACGGAGTGCCACAGGGGTCCGTTTTGGGTCCGGTTCTATTCATAATGTATACCAGGCCACTACTCCTCTTGCTCGGGAGGCATGCTGTTGAGAACCAGTCATTTGCAGATGATACACAGCTATACATGCATACCCATCCATCTCTTGTCGATTCCGCTGTCCAGACTTTGCGGGGGTGCATTGATGATGTCAAGTCTTGGATGACACTCAGCAAGTTGAAGCTTAATGATGACAAAACAGAAGCACTCCTCATTTACAATCACAAATCATCCTCTACCTCAACTCTTCCCACCTCATTTCAAGTAGGTAACTCCGACATACAGTTTACACCCTCTGCTAGGAATCTTGGTTATATTCTTTCTAACAACATGTCTCTCGATAAACATATCTCTCACATTTGTCGTTCGGCATACACCGCCATCCGTCAGATCAGCTCCATCCGCCACTACCTGACAGTTAGCGCAACAAAAACTCTAGTCTGTGCTCTTGTTCTCTCTCGTCTTGACTATTGCAACTCACTTCTGTCAGGTTCACCGAAACATTTTATAGAAAAACTGCAGAAAGTTCAAAACTCTGCTGCTAGGCTTGTTCTTAAGGCAAAAAAACATGATCACGTCACTCCACTACTCCACTCACTACATTGGCTCCCTATACAGGCACGCATTGACTACAAGCTGTCTCTTCTCTGTCACAACTTTTTCTCGGATTCCTGCCCTTCCTATCTAACTGAACTTCTTTCTGTCTATTCACCCCTTCGACAACTTCGCTCCTCCGCAGACTCGCGTATTCTGTCCGTTCCCAAGACACGCACTAAATTATATGGTGAACGATCTTTCTCTTTCTGCGCCCCCAAACAATGGAATTCTTTGCCACTACACATCCGCAATATAACAACCACACAGGCCTTCAAAACTGCACTCAAAACACATCTATTTAAACTATACTACTCTGACTGATTCTCCTCCTATAAACCGATAAACGTACATGGGTTTCCTTGTAAAAATGTCTGGTGTGGGTGGATGAATATACCTATGGTGTTGTTTTGCTTATATGTTGTTTTTATTTCATTTATGTATTTTATTTTTATATTATGATTATGCCTCTTTGCTATATATGTACAGCGCGGTGAGCCCAGCCCTAGGCCGGGGTACCGCGCTATATAAGACCACTTATTATTATTATTATTATTATTAATAGCAGTAGTAGAACTACAAGTAATGAATAGTAAATATTGCAGCTGTAGGGGTAGGCTTAGTTAGCAAGGCCTAGCCTACTCTGTTCATAACTAAAACTGTGTCAAGTAAAATCAATCTCATGTAATTTGTAATGTTACTTAGTTAGTACCAGGGTTGAAATATTTCAAGTAACCAATTTAAATCATTGCTTAAATCGGACCAATAAAAATGATTTAATTTATAATTATTTTTTATTGATTATAATAATACAAATATTTCATTTAAGTATTATTGTTCTAGACAAGAGTGCCATGGGGTAAATATATTTATATTTAAAGGCACTGGCTAAAAAAAAACTTCTGTATGTTTTTATATATTATATTATTAGTTTTGAAATTCCAATTCTTATAGAGTAATTGAAAGGGACTATACATTCTACTATATATATTATATAGACTATGACTATCATTAATAATAATAGGCCTACAAGATTATAAGTTTTTAAAACTTTTTTTAAATTGAATTTTGTTATATTTCATTATCATTTTTGATTAATATAAAAATAAAAAATTTCAATTTTGAAAAAAAAAAAAAAATTAAAAAAAAAAAATGGATTAATTTTTCTCATATTATTTTATTTAAATTTAAATCAGTATGTTAATTTAGATCCAAAAAATCAATTTAAATACTATTAACTACATTATATTTTAATCTTTATAAAAGTAATATACTTCAAAATAGAACGAAATATTTAAAAAAACAAATCTGCTTTTAATTTAATAAAATTTGATTTTTGTCAATCCTGGTTGGTAATAGAGGTAGTTTTGTAGCAGTAGTCTTAAGTATAAAGGAAAAAAAACAACATGGCTCAGATTTGGCATTTGATGCAAAGAATTACCTCAATAAATTTAAAAAAAAATTATATTACTACGGTACTGAAATGAATTTAATTTAACAATTAGCCCTCATCATTTATAGACACATAAAATCCCTACTTTTTTTAATACGTAATGTATTGATACAAGTTTTATTGACTCAGTGCAAGTGATTATTGTCATAAGAAACTTCATTGTGATTCAACTCATTGGACTTTTAAATTTAGTTTACTAAGGCCATTGAGTTCTTATAATTTGGACTCAAAATAGTTATGTAGTGTAGATAAAGTGCTGGGAACCACTTGGTGTTTCATTGACCCCTTTGCCAGTGAGATCAAGGACATGGACCCTTAAGACCCCCTGGCCTAGTGTATAAATTATCTAAAAGCCTAAAGTGTACAATCAACTTATATTCTTTGTAGTGACTTTTATTATTTCCAATGACATGATTTGATAATTGAAAGCGAAATTTATATTTAATATGTGTGTGCTGGCTTGACACATCATTTGCACAAATTACCGCAAACATTTGCGTTTGGCTTAAAGCCTTTATCGGCATACAGGAAGACCAAATGAAAAAGTGGATGAATTGATAGGATAGGAAATATCATCTAAATATATGGAAGAAAAAAACTTGTAGAAAGTTGTCCTTAAAATGAAAGTGTAGTTGGTTTAAGATTAGCAAAAAGAAGTCAGTATTGGTTAGATATTTTGAGAAGATTTACCTGATAGCAGTCCCTATAACCCCCCTTCCCCCAAAACTCTGTTTTACCCTCAATATAATATTATTGGATATTAATAAATTATATTTAAAAAAATAGGTCACAATATAAATATGAGATAAGAGGGCCATGGGGTAAAATGGTTCACTGGAAATATGAAATCATTTAGATTATAAAAATCTGTCTTATGATTTCATCTACAGTACAGTTTGAATCTCTATCCTTGATGCCTCCTCCTGAAAAAATAATAATATTTTCTTTCATTTTCAGAATAAGAATGATGTGATGTCAAATCTGTAAAGAAAAAAAAGTAGTTTTAAATTAACAACATGACTGTGCAGTACACGCTTTTTGTTATCTTCATAACACTTTTATCAATTAAGTATGGCTTTGGTCAAACTCAAAGTAAAATAGATGAAAATCAAATGGGTATGAGTGTCTTATATGACATGGTCAACATATTTCTTGGTGATGTTGTTCACACGGCTGAGTCAACTTCCTACATAAGTGAGTATATCAAATTTTGTTTAGAAACATGTACCACATTGGAAATACTTTAGTTTCATTTTACTTTTCTTTCCGCCTATCAACTTTTGAAGTAAATTCTGTGACGTTGATTCTATGTACCAGTATTCTTCAATATTGATTTTCATGATTTAGCCCTGCATGTATGTTACATAGAAATTATGTTTGTGAACATTTCATTTCCCTTTGGCAAAGTTATGTAGATAAACTTTACTTCCTGGTTGCAGAAATTAAAATTGCTATTGCATTGTTTGGTTAGGATCAATTAAGTCAGAGAGTGTTTCGTTCTTGTCTTGTATATTTACGACCTTACTACTTGACATAGTTAATAGGTCCTGTGAAATAAAAAAATGTTTAGCTGCGGACCTACGTCGATAAAGAGCATCCCAACGCATTAAATTTGTATCCTGCCTACCAGCTTGTGATGGGTTTAACAGTTAACACAATTCATGTTGATTGGGCCTGCCCCAGTGAAGAAAGTTGAAGTCTCATAAATGGTTTTGAATCCAGCCTATTTCTGTAACAAATTTAATTAAAAAAAATTTTTTTTTTAAAAAGTAGAAAATCCAGTTTCACCTGCAAAGGTATAAGCAAAAGGTAGGATTAATAAAATACCCCTGTGTTTGCTCGTCTTTGAGACTGCTCACACATTTTACCAGGCCCTTTGGTAGCGTTAATTGAAATGAGGGTTTTGAAGAGTCTATGCTATTTTAATAAATATTTAATTTATGCTATTGGGTTAACTGCCTATTTCAAAACAGTCGCTAGATTTTGTCAGGTGCTGATACAACTGTGCATAGATGTGTTTAGCTCATACCAGACATAAATATATCTTTGTGACATTATTAGAGATGTAAAAATGGGATAGACGTACATCTAGTTAAAAGAAATAGCTGCTACATATTAATATAAGGGATAGAAACTGAACCATTTTCAAAAACAGTAATTCACACTATAATTAGGTGCATATAGCAATTTACTCTGTAATTAGGTGCATACAAAAATACACTCTCTAACTTGGTGCACACAGTAAATACATAATATGGAATTTTTATCTTTACTGCTACAGATCTGACAGTAATTATTGAGGACAAGGATATAAGTTCAATCAAAGATTGGAAACCTGTGAGTACAACTCTTAAGCTTTTATCAGCATTAGAGTGAACAGTGTTGTAGCAGTGATGACAACACATTATAGATCTTTTAAGGATATTGGTGATTCTCAGATTATTATAAAGTCAAGCACTTGCATTGCAAACCCCCCCCCCCCCTCAAAATGCAAAAATTAAAACTTTTAAAACTAAAAAAGTGATGACAACACATTATAAATCTTTTAAGGATATTGGTGATTCTCAGATTATTATAAAGTCAAGCACTTGCATTGCAAACCCCCCCCCCCCTCAATATGCAAAAATTAAAACTTTTAAAGCTAAAGAAAGGATATAATATCAAATATACAGACTGTGTGCAGGGAAGAAATCAGCAGGTTCTTAAGAAAATAAACATGACTATGTGTATAGCTCAATTAATTCATTTGAAATGTAAAAGCAATGTTGTGTCATAATTACATACGCCAAGATTTCAATTCAAATGTACAAGCAATGTGATGTTAGAATTACATAAGCCAAGATTTCAATTCAAATATACAAGCAATGTGATGTCAGAATTAAATAAGCCAAGATTTCAATTCAAATGTACAAGCAATGTGATGTCAGAATTAAATAAGCCAAGATTTCAATTCAAATGTACAAGCAATGTGATGTCAGAATTACATAAGCCAAGATTTCAATTCAAATGTACAAGCAATGTGATGTCAGAATTAAGCCAAGATTTCAATTCAAATAATCTGATATCTTGTGTAGAATGATCATTACTTAGATGTTAAATTTTCTTTAACTTTCATTTATTTGTTCACTAAATTTATCCTTTAAGAATGTTTTTTTCAGCTGCTGAAGTATTTAATAGGATTTTCAGTATGTGTGGCCATAGGCATTGTCTTCATTGTTGTCATGCCTATATCTGGACTTATATTTTGCTTTTGCCGTTGCTGTGGCCGCTGTGGTGGCAAACAAAAATCAAATGAATCAAAGCAAAGCAAATGCAAGAGAAGGGCTTTCTGCAGCATATTGTTGATTTTAAACACAGTTGCTTTGTAAGTACATAGTTATGTAACAGCTTTATCAATAGCCTAATCAATAGTTATTGGTTCATTTGGAATACTCATTAAAGCTCTAATGAAATATTCAACTTTGATGCTAGTGATTTCTGGAAACAGAAAAAGACAAGTGAATTTAAAAACAAAATGATTAGCTTTTAGTTTTTCTTGCTCAGTATTTACCATTCTCTGACTTCTGCATACAATCTCGAAATATTTAATTTTTGAAAATCAATGTCATCTCCTTGTTTCTCTAGAGCTGGTGTTATATGTGCCTTTGTGTGCAATAGTTTGTTGTACAAAAGCCTTCAGAATGAGGATGGACAGGGATCAATAGGACACATCACTGGGGCCTTTAAAGGACTTGAAAGATTTATCAATGATTCTGTGTCTGTAAGTAAAAAAAAACAAAAAAAAACCCCCAATTCTTTATATGAACATGTCTATTTAAACTTTTAAAAATGTTCAGTGCTAATAGTTTGGTTGAATGAAAGAAGAATGTAATAGTTGACTATAACTTTTGTTTGTTTACTGCAGAACGGTACCAAGTATGTGACTTCTAAATTTGATGAGACAAGTCAACACATAGTTAAAAGGGTTAATGGTAAGTACAGTAGAACAACTTTGATTCTCAACATCAAATTTATTGGCAGTAGTTTTTTTGAAACATGTGTCTCTTTTATTAATCTGATTCCAAATGCATGGCAAGAATGCTTACCCCAGTTGCAGATGTAAATTAGTACATTGTCGGGGTCACAAAATACAAGTGTGAATAGCGATATGTAGTAGGTTTTCTGCTTTATGAAAATGAATAATAATCATGAACAAATTATGTTTATTTATCATGATTTTATAAAGGCATTGCTTTAAAATCATTATTGATGTCAGCTATCATACCTAGCTAGCACCCTGGACTCATTTCTAATTTGATAGTATTATGTCTTTCTATGTGTGAACTGACGGTTCTGATTTTTTTGTTCCACAGACACCGGCACTGAATCTGTTGAAGGTGTATTGAGAGAGCTCAGGGCTCAAGCTTTGCTCGATGAGGCCAACGATATCAGTAGAGGTCAGTCTTTGTCCCGATTATGACATTCAAGATGATTATGACAGATTAAAGATTGAAGTTAGGATTCATTTCAAAAAAGGCAGATGAGATAATTGTCACTGTGTCAGGATGATTCATATTCTCCAAACTTTGTGAATAAAGAAAACAACTGGCAGAGATAACCTCCCAACAAAACTTGCTACTTGGCAGCTCACCCTGCTGTAAAAAGGGAGGGGGGGGGGGGCATTTGACCTATGGTACATAATAATAATAAGATGATATAAAAAGAAGACGTTTAATCGGTGTACATTTCATGCTGTTAATGTTAAATAAAAATTTTTATAAACAAATGTAAGAATATGAAAACAACCTTTCAAATGAATAAAGAAAACAACTGGCAGAGATAACCTCCCAACAAAACTTGCTACTTGGCAGCTCACCCTGCTGTAAAAAGGGAGGGGGGGTGGGGCATTTGACCTATGGTACATAATAATAATAAGATGATATAAAAAGAAGACGTTTAATCGGTGTACATTTCATGCTGTTAATGTTAAATAAAAATTATTATGAACAAATGTAAGAATATGAAAGCAACCTTTCAAACATAAAACATTTCTAGACATCTTAGCTTAACCCAAATAAAAAAGAAAAATAAGACAATTTATTACTTTTGTGTTTGGTTAATTTTTTTTTTTAATAAAACATTCATAATTGGTATTAACTGTGTATTACCAGAGGCTAATGAAACTAGGGATAAATTGGAAGATGTCAAGATGCTACTTACAAATCTGAGTATGGAAGGTACTGAACTGAGCAACAACCTAACAGACATCAGAGATCAAATAGCAAGCGCTTGTGCTAGCGGGTGTTCTGGTTTTAACGCTAGTCAATACCAAACTCAAGCCAACTTTTCTTCTGTGAGTATACAATATGACAGGTCATTGATTGCATACGTTAATTAGTGGAGACTCCTTTTTGCCTAAAGCTAGTAATGTGCCAGAGATGCCATTGGGGTTGCAATCTGTAGTTGATTTGAAAGTCATAAGTAGGCAACTGTATCATTCAACCTTTCAGTGTTGATGAGGAAGAACACAAAAAATCACCAATGAACACCACCACCATTGTCTAGCAGAGGTGATCTCAGTGAACAAAAATACTGAGCTTCATATATTTTCTTGAAATTTTCCTGTTTGTGATATGTAGTACTGGTGGTATCGTACTCCTGTTCAAGACCAGTTATAATCTTCTAGGCCCCTCATTAGCCTCATATTCACTTGAAATCACTCACAAGAAATCACTGCACCCACCTCTCACAAGAAATCACTGCACCTCTCACAACATGCCTCATCATTTATAATCTTCTACCCCTCCTGCAACTCTTTTTTTTTAAATCATGTATAATCTTCTTCCCCTCTTACAACATTCCACTTTAATTATTCCTCTACACCTCTCACTATGCAAATCACTTGTTTTTATGAACTACCAATATTAAAATGTTTTATTTCAGCTTGGCTTACTAACAGAGGAAGCAAATAAAGTTCAGAAATCTCTAGACATGTCCATCTATATCTCTGAGGTAATTTATTTGAAGCAGCTGCATCCTTCCAAAAAATTAGAATACTTAAGCTGTCTCGGTAACACGTATCTGGCATATTTAAGTCATATGGGTAACGCATAACTGGCAAATGTTCAGTTAGTTATGATTGAATTGTTAACATTAATATTTTTATTATTTATATCCTCAGGCTAAGAAACAACTTGATAGTGCCAAAGCTGATGCATATAACCAAGTTAAAAAAACTAGTGAAGGTAAATCTGATTATTGCATTAAATACAGTTTGTTTGCAGCTTGTGGTGGCATTTCTCTGTTCAACCCCCCCTGCCACCCATAATTGTTTGATTCAGTTCAGCCTGGGCTCATTTCTCTTTTCGATCCCCTTTGCCACCCATCATTGTTTGATTCAGTACAGCTTGCGGTGGCATTTCTCTGTTCAACCCCCTTGCCATCCATCGTTTGATTCAGTGCAGCTTGTGGTGGCATTTCTCTGTTCAACCCCCTTCCACCCATCATATCTTCTTAATTGGATTGATTTAGAAAAGGAAATATAAATTAAAGGACTGCTTTCAAGCTTAGTAAATGAATGAAATAGCAAAACGACAGGCGACACGAATGGATACTTCTTGAGTTGTCTACTGTGCTCTGTTCTTTGTTATATTTTCATTTCTACTGTTGGCTGAGGAAGGCTTTATGCCGAAACGTCCTTGTTTTTTGTCCTGTTATCTTATTTCAAGCTTCCACATACCTCGTTTTGCTATTTCATTCATTTAGAAAAGGAAAGTGTATTCAAAGGTTTAAACAACAGTTTAACCAACCATTATAACGATAGCTTGTTTTTGAGGATGGACAGACATACATTATATTTGAATTCATATTATTTCATGACATTCAAAACATGTAGAATTCTTCAAAATCTCAACTTCTGGAATAGGTCAAAGCTTTGATAGCATGCTCTCCGTTTTACCACTCCACATTGTGCATGCCCAAATTGCTGGACATCAAAAGGGATTAATTTAGATTAAATGATTATTTGGTACAATGGCATCAATAATTTAGCTATTTTTAATAATAATTTTGTATGGCTAGACCCTTTTCTAATCTATTATATAAGCCCATTAGAGAAAAACTAACATGTCCATTAATATGGCATGGTGTGGTATATATTAATGGCGTGGATGTCAACAATGCATGTCCCTTACAAATGGCATGGATCTCTGCATAACATCTCCCCTTACAAATGGCATTGGATATCTACAAAAACAAGTCCCCTTAAAAATGGAATTGGATATCTACGAAACATGCCTCCTTTCAAATGGCATGGAGGTCTACAATAGATGTCCCTTTGCAAATGGCATGGATCTCTTCTTAACATCTCCCCTTACAAATGGCATGGATCTCTACAATACACGTCCCTATAATTGGCATGGATGTCTACACATGAAAATGAACATCTACTAAGAAAATGAGCCACTGTAACTTTATTTATACTGACTTTTCTCAGAGGCTGCAGACGCCATAACCAAAGTAAAAAAGTCAATTGATGATGGGATGAATGAGCTCATTACTGAAAAAGATAAACTTGTAAGTTTTTTGGATGTTTTATCTTATAGAGAAAATGCTTCATTTACAGATAGAAAATTAAGGTCTTTGTGACCACTTGATGCTGAAAAATAGACTTACTTGTACAACACTTGTTATTGAATGTGTCTCATTTTTTCATTAATTGTTTACATTTCTTTACAGTTGAAATATGTGCCATCCTATTATGACACCTTAAATGATGTTGATAAATATGCTAGGGATTATAGCAGATATGCGTAAGTAGCAAGATTATGAAATAAACGATTATAGAAGGTATGTGTTAGTAGCAAGATTATTGAATAAACAATGATTATAGCATCACAATATGTAAATAAACAAAGATGATTTCAGAATGTACATTCAAGTATCAATATTTATAAGTAAATGATTATAGGAGAAATGTTGTTCATCCTAATGAAAATAAGGTTAGAAGTTTAGAGCTACTTGAATGATTGAGCAGCTGACAATAATTAAATGTATTGACAGATATTATGCTGGTATAGGCATCTGTTGTGCCTACCTTCTGATTGTGGCCCTCTATTACTTTGGTATTCTATTTGGTTTGTGTGGAGAGCGCCCTGGAGATGATGCCCCGTGCTGCAACACCGGGACAGGCTCAAATTTTCTCATGGCGTGAGTATCAGCAGTTTCCCGGCTGGTGAATATGTGCATGCTTCAAGATAGGATGTGTGCAAGAGAATCTTCTTTAAGTCCATATCTATAAGTAGTCCATAATCTATAAGTAGTCCAAAATCTATAAGTAGTCCATAATGTATAAGTAGTCCATAATGTATAAGTATTGAGTGTTAATAGTGTCTTTACACACATAAACAAAAAAAAAAAAAAAAAAGACTGGTGTGAAAACTTTCCTGACTTATGTTAGCGAAATACAAAATTGGGGGTCAATATAGCTTGAGATTGGCCTTTAGTATAACACCCCCACCCCCCCAAAGTTGATATCGCCCCAAAGTTGATATGGCCCCAAAGTTGATATCGCCCCAAAGTTGATATCGCCCCTAAGCTAATAGTTGTCCCTTGAAACAAGTTTTAAATTCGGCGGGTGAACTCACCCCAGACAGGCCTTGTTTAATCTGAACTTTGCAATAGATGGAGAAATGCTTGCAAATCAAGTCAAGGACTATCTCAAGAATCAACAAAATACTGACTCAAAGTGCACATCACATGACCAAAAACACACATTTTTGCTTTGTATACTTTTTTAACATACAGTAGCAGTGGACGGAACAAAAATATTTTGTTCAGTTTTTCAACACTGTGTTGATGTTTTTTGTATGTCCCCGTAAGTGTGTAGTTTTGTGTGTTGCCAATACTTTTGTCTTTCAGCTGAAAAATTGAAGTGCGTAGCTTGGAGGTAAGGCAGGTTCATAGTTTGCCTTTAAAGAAAAGAGCAGCAACCAAGTAATATGGAGGTTGTTTCCCTTTCTGTCATCTTTAAGTATTTTAGTGAACATCTTTTTTCTCTTCAATTTCAGTGGCGTGGGCTTCACCTTCATCTTCTCCTGGATTTTGATGATTGTCTGCACGGTGCTGTTTGCTGTTGGAGGACCTGTCTATACAGAAGGCTGCAAATATTTTGAAAATCATCAGCCTTCTAGACTAAAGGTTGTGCGACGACTCGTCTTATAATCTAGTGTCAGGGCAATGTTTGTGTTGTCTTCTAAACTAGGTGATAAGACAGAGTTTGCATTGTATATTGTGATAGGATAGTGTTTGTGTTGTACGCTATGATAGGATAGTGTTTGTGTTGTACACTATGATAGGATAGTGTTTGTGTTGTACACTATGATAGGATAGTGTTTGTGTTGTACACTATGATAGGATAGTGTTTGTGTTGTACGCTATGATAGGATAGTGTTTGTGTTGTACGCTATGATAGGATAGTGTTTGTGTTGTACGCTATGATAGAATAGTGTTTGTCTTGTCATCTTATCTTGTGATAAGACAGAGTTTGAATTGTATATTGTGATAGGATAGTGTTTGTGTTGTATACTATGATAGGACAGTGTTTGTGTTGTATACTATGATAGGACAGTGTTTGTGTTGTCATCTAATATAGTGATAGAACAGAATTTGTGTTGTATACTATGATAGGATAGTGTTTGTGCTGTCATCTTATCTAGTGATAGGACAGAGTTTGTGCTGTCATCTTATCTAGTGATAGGACAGTGTTTGCGCTGTCTTTAAACTAGTTATAAGAAAAGGTTTGGTTTGGCTGCCTGACTCATGTAACACCTATCATTTGTGTATTCTAAGATATGAAGAAATTTAGTTATTGCTTATTTTATACTGTTTAGTACTTACTATTAGTGGGTAATAAATTAATTGTTACTTTGACTATTCCAACTTTCTACAGATATTTGATGATAGTTTGGTCAATGGATTGAAACTCAAAGAAAAGATCTACACCAAGGGCGCCCCACCAAATTTTTCAATTGCAAATATTTTAGAGTAAGTTACCAACAGTAAATACAACAAATTTTATAGATTGAGTTACTACTAATTACCACAATTATTACATACTTATGAACAGTTGATAAGTTCACACCTTGAATGTTGGTTTGCATTATGTAGCTTAGCTGGATTAGTAGGATAGCGTGTACATGCTACATTATTGAGATGGATGAGCTGCATAAATTATCCATGTTATGGCCAGGTTGCTACAATGAATTTGGCGAATTTATTTCCTGTCATGTTAAAGCCATTTTGTTATTCTCTTCTGGGTTAAGTATAGAAGGGCCAAATTTCTTCTCTCCAACAATATGTATTATTTAGCATAAAGGTGAGCAGTTTTATAAACAGATGATGAGGAGAAGTGACTTTGTCTCACATAGGAGGGAGGTGGTGTGGATAGGATTGAAAAAAAGAATATAAATATATTGTTTTGTGCCTTTCATTTATCCAAATAATACATATTTTGTATGGTGGTAACAAAATTAAACAAAACAATGTTCATTTATTATCTTGTACCTTTTTTTACAGCATCACATTAAAAAATGGATTCTTTTCTCTCATAGACAGTGTCAAAAGAATGAAGCAATTTACAAGGCCTTACAACTAGATTATTTGGTAGATTTGGATAGCATTACTAACATAACCGTAAGTTCTCTAACCCAATAAGTTCTAAAATGTTTTTGTTCATGCCGTTGGCAACTCTGTTCCCAGCTTTCGTTCTCGCGTTCTTTTCCCCATAAGACTTGGCCCGTTAGTCTTGCCTTTATCTTCACTAGGTGTTCAAGAATGAGATTGACAAATTGAAAGAGCTGTCGTTGAATATCCAGAACATTACAATCATCAGCCCTGCCCTGAAGAATGATCTGCGCAACTTTACCTCGGCCCTGACAACGGTCAACTTTAATCAGTACTTTGATGAGGTCAGTATACATGAAACATAGTAAAATACTTAACCGATGGTACACTATGTACACGACCTCGGGGTGACTATGCTTGTAATAGTTACTTGAAGTAAAAGAAAATTTAATCAAATAACTAAAATTTCATATGTCCTTAAAAACCAGGTTATCTCATAAATTAATCCAGTGTCATATATTTAAAAAAAATTATAATAAGGAATGAGTTCACTGAAAAGAAATATCTCTTTTAAGCAAACAAAAAAACAGAGAGAGAGAGGGTCAGAGAAAGTGAGATAGGGACAGAGATGAGAGAGAGATTAAAAATTCAAATTTTTGAATCATTTCATTGAAAGGACACATTAATAAACTAGAATGCTGTTTGCTCTAAATGAGACTGATATAGATTTGATCTTAAGTTAAGATCCCAGCCGAAATCCAGTAATTTACCTAGTCTAATATACCATATTTATTGGCGTATAACACGCCCCCGTGTATAACACGCACCTCAAAAACTGAACATTATATTGGCATATAACACACACACATCATTTGCGCCCTATTTTCAGGGAGAAAAAAGTGCGTGTTATATGCCAATAAATATGGTATTTAAAGATTTTTCTAGAAAAATTATAATTTATTTATAAAGTTTCTTTATTTTGTACTGCAAAACTGTACATCTACAAATTTAAATGCTGTGTCTGTAAAAAAAGGCCAAATTGTCAAGGATATTTCCCTTCATTCATGGATATTTCCCTTCAGTCATGGATATTTCCCTTCAGTCATGGATATTTCCCTTCAGTCATGGATATTTCCCTTCATTCATGGATATTTCCCTTCAGTCATGGATATTTCCCTTCAGTTATGGATATTACACATTTATGTTATGGTCTCTAAATGTGTATGTCTCAAAATACAGAATACCTTTAATTAAATTGAAATAAAACATGATTTAGTACAACTATTACAACTGACCGGTAATGTAAGTTTTTAAATAATGTGAAGTTAAGGTTAAAGTTAAACAGAACAGTTTAAAATTTTGAATTCATTTTCTAAATGTTTGATGAAAGTTCCTGGTAAACATTGTATTTTGCTGCATAAATCACGTAATTTTCATTTGACAATTTTAAGAAAGATAAAAAAAATAATTTTGTGTAGCTTTGATTTGGTACATCTGATTTTTAAACGTTGCATTGTAATGTTATCACAAGTATCATAAGTCTTAGTAGTTGTATTAAAATCAGGAAAATTTTGCACCTAGTCATTCATCTGTGGTGAATTCATAAAAAAAAAAATTAACATTGGAGGCAGAAAGATCAACATGAGGGTGGTGCCTATATTAAAGAAATTTTTTGGTTGCTTCTCATTTTAAGCATCTATGCAAATGTATTCAGAAAACTCAAAGTTGATTTTTGGGGTTTGGGAACTCCAACACTTTAAAAACAATTCTTTTAATGAATTTATTCTCCAATATTTGACCCTGACCATTTTTGGGAGTTGCAAGGGCTTACTGCCATTTAAAGAAAAATCTTTTCTATTAACTTCGCTTTTGTTTGTGTGTCAATCTTTCTTTCTATCTGGATATGTGGCAAAATCTTCGGACGGCAAATTGACCAACTTCCTGTCAACCTACAGAGCTGATTGTTAGACTTGTTGCCGATGACAACACATTTGATCAAATTTTCTGCCCCACACCCAAAAATCAGGTTTTCCTATTTTCAAGGCAAAGATGAAGGAAATATGATGCCACTGATTTAACGAAATAAAATTCCCAATAACTGCGCCAAATTAGATTCGTAAAAATATCGCAAGTGCGCTTGGTGTGTAATATTTTCTTTTGTTTTTCTGAAATAGTTGGTGACATAAATATGCTGTGTAAAAGCGGATGGGACATTAGAATATTAATAATATAAAAAAAAATTTAAAAAAAAATGTAAGTAAAGGAATTATATGAAAAACATTCTTTTAAGGGTTTGCTTGAATAAATTTTAATTCACACTTTGATAAAGAATCCCTTACACCGTTACCATCAAAAGTTGATACACCACTGGCCACTGTCACAAATGAGTCTAAGAAGAGTGTTTTACTTCAACAGATAATAGTATTGTTTTGTAACCATTGTTACAATGTTTCTGTGGCCCTTTAAAAAATATTTCTTTTCCAATTGAAAAAGTGTTCTGCCATCATAACTCATCGACCTTAATTCCCACTTTTTTTTTATTCACAGTTGAGATTGGTGGGTTGCATGTTATTTTCAGAATAGAGTCTATCTTAACCAATACTAAATATGCAGCAGCATGAACAAGTTATTTACATGCTGTAACAAATATGAGATTAGTTTGGTTTGCATGCAGTAATTCTCATCATGTTGCAAGTATTTGTTGTAAAGTGCATCATTCTAGTTGTATATGCTAGCAGTTTTTATGGGGAATCCCAATAAGTGTTCTGGCTCTTGAAAAATCAAATTTTTTCAATGTAGAACATTTTTGTGAATGTCATATATAAATAATAGTTTTTGATGACATGTTTAATTGCCTTGACCTAGAGCCTAGGTTAACATGAGAATTGTGCATTGTGATTATTGTTAGCAGCTTTTACAGGATTGGGGCAAATGGTGCAGTATTAGGCGTAACTAATAAACTACTCAGAACAGCTAAAAGGTATATGGGCAGCTGATAAGGTATTTGGGCAACTAGTAGAGTATTCAGGATGTCTAGTATAGTATTGGGTCACCTAAAGTATTGTGAGCAACTCAAACTTTATGTGGGCAACAAGTGTAGTATTCAGGGTGGTTGGTACAGTACTGAGGGCAACATGAGTCAAGACAGCTAGTATGGCATTGGGGGGAAATGGTTGAGAATTGTGAGCTACTAATACATGATTTCTCTTAATGAAATGGCTGCAGATTGAATCAGACTTTTTCTGTTAAAAATATTTCCTTTAGGAATGTCAGGTGAATACTTCCATGAATCTAAAATCACTCTAATTAAAAAAAACTCAACTTCCATTCCAAAGTCAAAATACATCGACCAACATGGCATCAGACTAAGACTCAGCTTTCTATACAAAAATTACTTGAGCCTTCATGTTAAGTTGAAGCTGTTGGATATAAAAATTAGGAACATTTTATTTTTTTTAAAAAAAGGAAAAAATTATGTTTTACCAAGGACAAAAAATATTTTAAACAGGCTAAATTCATTTGTACATCTGGAGTTCAATCACAACAGTTGTGACCTTTCACCCTGTGGGTCTGAAGTTGTCCACACCAAATGAAATGACTGCATTTCTTCCACTGAACCATGCTAAATGAGACACTTGACTACTAATCTTCGGTCGAGCCATGCGGAATAAGATAATGGTGAAGGGACTAACACTTGGGTTTTAGCATGTATTTTGATGCATTTTGTTGTTGTTTTGGAATGAGTTGAAGAAAAATGTAAATATTGTTGTCCATCATAACAAACACCAGTGTAAATCATGGAGTGAACACTGGTGTATAATTTAACTTTTTAATTACGGAGAAACCAGTTTTATCTAATAATTTGCTGTGAGGAAATACTGAGAACCTAGAGTGCACTGTATTTTAACAAAACAAAGACAAAACTAAATTTAAATAATTTTATTGTTTGCAACTGCCCTGAGTTAATTTCTTGCATGCGTAATGCGTGATTTTCACCCAGTAGAGTATGTTGAAAGTACACACTAAAAGTTCATTTTATTCTTCCTATACAAGTCTGATTTTCAATAATTTTTTTTTTCTCCTTACTATAGCTTTTTTTTTTGTCCACTGAGGATTCTTGCCTAAAACTCAGTTTCTCTCACACAAAGCTTTATATTTTTTAATAAATTTTACTAATTTTATAAAAATTCACCACCATATTTTTTATTAAACTGTAGGCATTTGTTTGTATAAAATATTACTTCATGAAGTTACTGATTAAAATATTTGATTGTTGCTCTATGGTAAAGTTATTTTCTTAAAATATTATTGTTTTTTTTTTAAAATTAAAATTGTGGTGTTGTTTTTTATTATGAATGAATTTGAATTGCTTTAAAAAAAAATACATTTCTGCATGATTATACAACTGTTTTGATTTGATGAATATTTATTAAAAACATTTTATGTTTGGTAGTAGAGCTGAAACTCATAGTTGTATTTTAAGTAGAATTTCCTGATACTATAATAGGTAAAAACGAAAATTTAAACTGTGTTACTTTGCTGATAAGTAGTAGGAACTAAAAACTACAACAATGTACTAAGTAATACCGAGTTAAAAACTATAACTTTGCTATGAAGTAACAGAGCTTAATAAACTAAGATAGTGTGCTAAGTGTCAACAGAAACTATTATAAGGTTATTTTGCTAAGCAGTAAAGGAAATTAAAAATAATTCAAAATATATCCTTATATACAGAAGTTTATCCTCTCACCTAGTTTGACCTACTTGCACTTATTTCATTTAAGTTTTCGCTTAAATAGTTAGATTTTATTATTTTGAATCCATTGTTACATTTTGTGCCTTTCTCACTTTCAGCTAGAGAAAAACATGACAGCTGCACTTCTTCCAGAGTTAGCTGCAGCTGTTCAAGGATTTGCTACACAAGAAAATCAAAAACCTGTAAGATTATAAGGGAAATGGATAAAAAATATTTTAGCATATCACTATCCTTAAACATTTCCCATACTTAATACAGTCTGTTTGGTTGTGTGATTCGATGTAGGTATGCTTAGCTGTGAATCTGATGATTCATGCTTTGCTAGTGTTAACTGCTATCTGATTTCTCTGTACACTGATGGGACCCAAACCTACTATAAAAGTCGGCTTGTATCTTTCTCTTATAAAGCATTTTCTTGAAGGCAATAATACTTAACTTTTTTGCAATATTATTTCATAAAATACTTTATTATTATTATAATAATTACAGGGTAATTTTCACAATCCATGTATGATTTTTTTTTTTCATCAAATTATTTTACACGTTCATACGTTGCTATCACGCCGTATTGTCCCTTTTCCAATAGCAGTTTAAACTTTAATCCAGGAACCTAAATAACAGGCTATACTAGGAATCAAACATATGTAATAATGCACCTCTATATAAGTAGAAGAATATAATACAACCTTCATCCACAAAGTTCTCTCACCAACTGCCAAAACAAATCACATGTACACCAAAGACAGACCATAGACACTCATCAAAATTACAATAAAAAATATGTCAACATACGTCACAAGCCCAAAGACAAAGCACAATTTTCCATACACAACTGTTACTAGTGAATACCCATACTCGATAGTAATTACTATGTTTCTTTAATACCACTTAAACATATAAAAAAACATTAATGATGAAATACTGTATTGTTCTGGGTACGATATATAGTTCGTCAGTTGAAGTCGAATATGACCACCTTAATCATTGGGTATGATAATTGGGAACTTGAGTGCACAGATGGCTAAAGAGACCAATTCTGGCACAAAATGCTCTTGTGCAAGGAATTGATGGGACATCTCCAGGTGCAGAATTAATCCAGGCTTTTCTGTCTTTTGTGCTCTGCAGTCACTGTTGGTTTCATGTTGCATGAAGCTGTTGTGTACAGAGGAATGCCAGGATGCTAGAGCCTTTGCAGATTCTTCCCATGTTTCCACGTATACATCGAACACTTTTAGTGAGGCTTTAAGGGTGTCTTTAAAGCATTTCTTCTGCCCACAGCAAACTGCCTCCCATGCTCCAGCTCACTACAGAATCTGACATTCGCATCTCATGTCCCACATTTTAATGGTAAAGATTCTCGGGAGACCTCCCTGTGCGAGTACCTCGTACCTGTGACTCTGTCGTGCCATTTGATGTTTAGGATTTTCCTGAGACTTTTCGTATGAAAGTCGTTAAACATTTTTATATGGCGTAGATAAACAGTTTCCACAGTTATAGAGAAGCGTAGTGAGCACAGTCGCCTTGTGTACTTTTATTTTAGTTTGAGGGCTTATACCATACATTCTTAAACAATTGGCCATAGGTTGCATTGGCCCTTACAATTTGAAGGTTCTGAGTATAGTCCACCCATGATTATAAGCGGCACCCTTATTAATCATTGTTCACATACTCTGGTGTTTTTATTATTACTTATTTTTTTTTGTTTCAATATCTCCATTGTTTAATGCCGCCCTAGTAACATGAATAAAGTTACAGTTTTACTACCATGGGGTCAATTTTTGACCTCATGATTAGAAGCTCACTATATCACTGCAATAGAAACATTGTTTATTGTATATATCATCTTATTTTCCTGAAAATAATGAATTTTTGTCCCAAACCTAAAAATAGTGGCCTATTTATCTTGAGAACTTTCCAATAGACCGCGTATAGAGGATCACACAATCATGATCAAATATTACTCAACACTTCATTTGTGAGCTTTTTATTTTTTACATCATTGTAAGCATAGCTGTTATCGTTGGGTTTGTTGGCACAGCTATTTGCTGTGTTCTTCACATACAAACTTGGTTGGCTTGTCCTACAATCTGGGACAATTTAACTTCTCTTGTGCTGTCCTGAGTGAGTGGTGCTTGGAGATGCTGATGATGCAAATTGTAAAATGCAGCAACTGCAAAGGACCTATTTGGCTCCTTGTAATGTTTGCTGCACTATCAATCCCTTATGTGCATGTGGAATGATTAGAGCAAGGGCCAGTTCCATTTATGAACTTTTGTCACTTGTCTGACTGCATTTTGGGTTCGTTTTCATTCTGGATAAAATCATCTGTAAAATATTGCCCTCACCTTCACCGTGGGTGTCGCTTACAGTGGCTAACGCAACCACAATGCGGTCGTGCATCAGTCCTTGTCGTCCATCCATCCATATTGTCTCACCGTGTTGTGCAGCTGTGCAGGTCGCAGAATTACAACAAATACTTATGTTACATCAAGATACTATGGGATTCATTTCACCCTAAACAAAAACATTAATGACAAAAATAAACACATAAACCAGAAAAGGTTGAACATGTGTTAAATTGTTAGGAAAGCCTTACAAGAAAATGTATGATAAGGGAGGTCACTAATCATGATAATTTCAAAGAAATTATGGGTCAAACAGGGCTTGGGTGACACAGACCCCATGTTACCAAATGAGGGTTAAAGACTTGCATTAAGGGAAAAAAATTGCTACCTATACTCGAAGCATTGTGGTATTTAATTATAGTTTTGATCGTTGCTCATGCAGTCTCGCAACCTAACCAAGATTGTTATTCTGAACACCTGCGCAGAGCGCTTGAGGCTTCTTGACAACTCAACTCTTGCACCTATGAAAATCAAAGCAGTGAGTGCGTCTTCTTGACTTTTTTGTATTATAACACATTCTATTGTAACACATTCTATTTTAACACATTCTATTTTAACACATTCTGCTGTTTCAAAAGACAATGATTTCATATTTTCCTATAAATCTTTTACACATTTCTGGTATGAAAATGTCATCTATTGTTAAATGTGTAAATAATTTTTTAATGTAACGAAGCTGTTAATACATCCATGAAATCATGTGTTCTTACTTTACTTACCCGCTGCTGCACAGTCCAACCTGAGTGACACGTTGCATGGATTACAAACAAAGACCACACTGAAGGTAAGGATTGGATCTGTAATCTTTGTTTTGTGGTCAACAGCTGAGCTGCGAGGATCACTACTTTATTTTATATTTAATTCTGAGAGAGGTCACGTACATTGTATATCCAAAAATAGAATTATGTCAATTTTAAAACAAAATGGCCCAAATATATGTTTTACACCCTCTTAGTAATGTTTTGAAAAATTTTTGTATACAGCATTAAATCTCCTCCCACAGACCCACGTTGATGACCTGATCGGCAATCTGACAGCTGCTCAGAACAACTTCAACGCGAATAAAACAAGGCTCATAATGGCTGTAAGTAAAGGAATTCCTCATTCTTATTTCATATATTAAAAATTTTATCAGTCATTCATATGGATCTAGCTGCTGGATCATCTCCGTGTTATGTATCTACCTGCGGGATTATCTCAGTGGTGTGGATCTACCTACACGATTAGGAGCAAATATTAATCTCAGATGAGATCTGTTAGCCAATTTTAATGTTTTTGGTGTAGCATTATTGAATTTCTCTAATTTGATAAGCACCAGATTTTTTAATGAGAAAGGCAACAGTTTAACAGGGGCAAGACGATTTTTATTATCAGCTTACACAGGAAGGTGGTAAAATAGGCCTGATGATTAGCGGGGACAAAACAATAATTATGGGTGTCCAGTGTTTCAGCCAAGTGAATGTAGCACTGAGCCAACATGCTTGAAAAGTTTGCTGGATTGGATCATTGAGGCACAATCTTCAAGAATTAAATATGTGGAATAGATGTGGAATAAATGTCAATTTAGCCATCATTGCCTTCCAAACCATTACTTCTGTCAGTGACACAAATATGTAGGGGTCTTCGTACACCTGTTATATTCCTTTCATATTAAAAATGTATTCCATTATATATTTAAAAATGGGGATCAGCAACTATGATTACAGAAGGAACAAAGAAGTCCTAAGAGGCAACAGAGCATAGAGCCTGGATGGTGACAGTTCTCAGAATTTGCTTCCTAGTCCTGAGCAGCAGTGCACAGATGAAACCACTATAAAATAGATGCCACCCAGGAGGAAGCAAGGAAGGTCATGGAAAACTTGGAGGCAGACCTACCAAAAGACCTTGAAAATTGTCAAGCAGTCTTATAAAGATTATCATTTAACCAACAAATAGCTACAGATTTATTAAGATTGTCATTATGCTTACAAATAACTACAGATTTATTAAGATTGTCATTATGCTTACAAATAACTACAGATTTATTAAGATTGTCATTATGCTTACAAATAACTACAGATTTGTTAAGATTGTCATTATGCTTACAAATAACTACATATTTATTAAGATTGTCATTATGCTTACAAATAACTACAGATTTATTAAGATTGTCATTATGCTTACAAAAAACTGCATATTTATTAAGATTGCCATTATGCTTACAAATAACTACAGATTTATTAAGATTATCATTGTGCCAACGATAACTACAGATTTATTAAGATTACCATTGTGCCAACAATAACTACAGATTTATTAAGATTACCATTTTATTCGGCTAACAAATAGCTTACACGACTCTGATATAGCATTGAATATTTTCAGAAAATTGCAGACTTAAGTAATGCAATCCTGACTGAAATCAGTGACAACATTGATGAGGTGAAGAAAGAAGTGAGTAAAGCTTCACTAAGCCCTAAGCAGTTATGCAAGTAATGGCTTTAAAAATTACTGGCAGAAGAAAATAGAAAGGAATACATTTTCAAAGAAACATCTCAGTCCTAGGTCTTAGGTTCTGATCCTAACAAATTACAAATGAAAAGTCAAAGTAATTCAATTTGTTGAATTTTGTTACAAGACTGAGATGTTTACCAGTTGGAAGACTTGGGGAATCCAAGCATTTTGAATTCTCTTAGCCATGTCTCATAAGTTAAGAATTGCTGATGAGGGTTTTGTTTTAATGGGGAGAGTCTCGTTAGTTTCACTTGAATAGACAACTCAGTTGAGGGAGGAAAGAGGGTGGGGTTAGCATGAGTAATGCAGGTGATCTCATCCAAAGTACATCCGGGGCAACCTCTCTCATTCTTTATCAACAAGATTATCTTTCCATTAATTGTTACGGAAACATTTCCATGTTCCCCAATTGATTAATTTATTCTTCACAAAAATGAAGGTGGAGCTTTAATAAAATGATACAATGCTTTTGGGCATGTTTTCTTATCAATCGCTTTTCATGTCCAGCCAAGAATGTCAAGGATTCTACCCATAACGCATACAATTTTAAAATGACTGTCCTTAACATCAAGTTCAATTCTAATTTATTGTCATTTTTTTTTTTCATTTTTTTTTTCACAAAATGCTTTACAATGTTTTTGTTAGGTAGGCCGATGACTTGAATCTCCCAGAAAGCCAGATGTTTGAATTGTAATGTTTTTGTTACAGATTAGAGAAAACATGGCACGTTGTGAACCTCTGAGTTCCGCTGTCTACATGTTGACTGATTCTATTTGTGTGTTGGCAATCAATCCACTGGTGAGTTCAGATCAAACACTTGCATCCATAAACTTGCATTGCAACACTATGTATGGTCAATCCACTGCCCTGCCACTATTCACTTGATCCATCTACCACTGAAGGGACAGTATTTACCTGTTCCATCTACTGCTCTGTGACTGTATTTCCTTGGACGTTCTACTGCTCTGTGACTATATTTACTTGGTCATTCTACTGCTCTGTGACTATATTTACTTGGTCAACAACTGCTCTGTGACTATATTTACTTGGTCATCCTACTGCTCCACAACTGTTTACTAAGTCAATCTACTGCTCTGTGACTGTATTTACTTGGTCCATCTACTGCTCTGTGACTTTATTGATAGGTTTGAAAAGATTATTTAGTTCCATTGTGTCAATAACTAATATTATTATTTCTGTTTGATATCCTACCAGAACGGCATGTGGTTCAGCTTTGGATGGTGCCTAGTTTTCTTTGTCCCTTGCCTCATCTTTGCTGTCTTGCTAACTGGTCAGTACCGCAGGGAACATCGGTATGAGAAAGAGTTTGATGACCCGTGAGTAGCATGAGCTTTCAGCTCACTTTTTTACTACATTTGTAGAGTTGTAGTTGTGTCTGGGGATATAGCTTGTACACATGCAATACAGAAGAACTAGAAGTGCCAAGTGTACATGGATTAGGTAAGAAATGGATGTGTCTTGTGTGGGTGGAAATGGATGTGTCTTGTGTGGGTGGAAATGGATGTGTCTTGTGGTTGGAAATGGATGTGTCTTGTGTGTGTAGAAATGGATGTGTCTTGTGTGGGTGGAAAGGGATGTGTGTGGTGTGGGTGAAAATGGATGTGTGTTGTGTGGGTGGAAACGGATGTGTCTTGTGTGTGTGTGGAAATGGATGTGTCTTGTGTGGGTGGAAATGGATATGTCTTGTGTGGGTGGAAATGGATATGTCTTGTGTGGGTAGAAATGGATGTGTCTTGTGTGGGTGGAAATGGATGTGTCTTGTGTGGGTGGAAATGGATGTGTGCGTGGATTAGAGGAAAAAGATGAACACACTGTGCACATGGAATAGGTAGGAAGCCCTGCTGTCCTTATCAACACATGTAAAGCCATCGTCCTGGTACTTGTGATGTAAACACCTGGTGTGTCTGTGTTGACTTGTGAGGTTTTTAAGGGCACCATATTATTAGCAACTTTGGTAAACTCATTTTTTAACTGGGATGTCAATGATTTGCTGCATTCAAGAATTTGTTGTTTTTTCATCTCACCTAGAAACTTCTTGATGTATGGTGGTCCAAGTCAGGACACTATTCCCTTGACCAGGTCAGTATGGTACCTCTTAGATGTGCTGTTTCAACTACATAGCTGTAGTAATATTATACCCAAATGCACCCAATTAGTTTTAGTACTATTATACACTAATTCACTGTACTAGTTGTAATATCATACAATTTTGACAACTCACAAATTTGATTTATGCGTACTGATATACACTAGTACACCATACTAGATGTTGCACAATGACACACTATTACACTCTGCTAGTTTGTATGATAATACACCCTGCTGGTTGTAGTACAATGAGGCACTAATACACCTTGCTAGTTGTATGATAATACAATCTGCTAGTTGTAGTGCAATCATACCCTAAAACATTCTGCTAGTTATAGTGCCATCACACACTAAAACATTTAGCCAGTTGTAGTACAGTGACACACTAAAAAATATTTAGCCAGTTGTAGTACAGTGACATACTAAAAATATTCTGCTAGTTGTAGTACAGTGACATACTAAAAATATTCTGCTAGTTGTAGTGCGATCACACACTAAAACATTCTGCTTATTGTAGTACAGTGACTCTGAGTGATATACTAAAAATATCCTGCTAGTTGTAGTGCTATCACACACTAATACATTCTGCTCTTGTAGTACAATGACACACTAAAAATATCCTGCTAGTTGTAGTGCTATCACACACTAAAACACTTTACAAACACGAATAAACTAGACATTTCTTTAACAAATATTAAAGAGATAATAAAACTAGAGACCGACCGAAAGTGATTTTCTGATTTCGTCCGAAAGCGAAAAAATGCCGAAAGTTTAAAAATGACTTTCGGTCGAAACCGAAAAAAGGCAGAAAGTTAAAAATGAATTTTAACCGAAACCGAAAATGAAATATTAAGATATATTGAAATTCGTTCCTGCATACATTCTGCATACATTGAAAATGATGTGGGAAAGTATAAATATTTACATTCTTTTTATAAAAAATGAGATAATCGTGAATATTAATAAATAAACATCTAATATAGGGGTCTCAAACTCGCGAGTCATTTGTCACCCCCAAGATGATATTTTGCGGCCCTCTACATGACAGAAAAGTTTAGTGTAAATGCGCCGGCACGTTTCCCCCATTCTCATATCTATAACGTGAATCTCTGCGACGGTTTAAGTCGAATCTCACCGACTAGTCTAATTCTGATTTTTTTCTTTTAAAATTTTTCTCTGTATTTTTTTGTACCAGGTCTCTGGCAACAGTGAGTAGTTCTTAAGAACCCTTAATGATTTTATTGTTATTTATAAAGGTTGAGCAGATTGTAACAGTTGTAATCGCTTTTTTGTGGATTACTTGATGCGGCCCACTCTCCTTCAGACACTACCTCCTGCGCCGCCCCCCCCCCCCCAAGATTTGAGTTTGAGACCCTTGATCGAATGAATACTTTGGATTTTATCATTTTAATATCAAAGTAATTTAAATTGCTTTACAATTTTTTTCAAAAATTAATATGGTAGGAAAAAATTTGGCAAAAATGGGGGGGAGGGGAAATTAATGCAAAATATTATTTTTTTAAACAGGGTTTCTAAAAATGTGCTTCTAAAAGATCGCTTAATTTGTTTTTAAAGATCGTTTAGTTCGTTGTTATTGATCAGTTAGTTTGTTCTTGAAGATCGGTGAGTTTGTTGTTAAAGATCGTTTAGTTTATTGTTAAAGATCGTTTAGTTTGTTTTAAAGATCGTTTAGTTTGTTGTTAAAGATCATTTAGTTTGTTGTAAAAGATCCTTTAGTTTGTTGTTAAAGATAGTTTAGTTTGTTGTTAAAGATCATTTAGTTTGTTGTTAAAGATCGTTTAGTTTGTTGTTAATGATCGCTTAGTTTGTTGTTAAAGATCGTTTAGTTTGTTGTTAAAGATCGTTTACTTTGTTCTTAAAGATCGCTTAGTTTGTTGTTGAAGATCTTTTAGTTTGTTCATAAAGATGGCTTAGTTTGTTGTTAAAGATCGCTTAGTTTGGTGTAAAGATCGCTTTGTTTTTTCATAAAGATCGCTTAGTTTGTTCTTAAAGATCGCTTGGTTTGTTGTTGAAGATCTTTTAGTTTGTTCATGAAGATCGCTTAGTTTGTTCATAAAGATCACTTAGTTTGTTGTTGAAGATCGCTTAGTTTGTTTTAAAGATCGTTTAGTTTGTTCTCAAAGATCGCTTAATTTGTTCTTAAATGTGGCTTAATTTGTTGTTAAATATCGCTGAGTATTAAAATGACTGAAAACCTGAGTCACTTTCGGCCGGATGGCCGAAAGTTTAAGTCAATTTCGCCCGAAACCGAAGAAAAACCGAAAGTTAACTTTTCTCTTTCGGCCGAAACCGAAATAAGCCGAAAGTTAACTTTTCAGTTTCGACCGAAAGTGATAACATGGCCACTTTTGGCACCGAAGCCGAAATTCGGTCGGTCTCTAAATAAAACATTATAGAAATTGTAGCCAAGAAGAAAGTGGCTACTGAAATAATAATAAAATATAGGAAACATCAGCATTATTATCTGATCACTCACTTATCTCACACAATGGTTCAGTGTTTCTACAAAGTTTATCTTTATCTGAAGATGATCCACTGAATCCAAGTTATATTATAATCACTACATGAAGTTTGTAAACCAAAACCCACCGCTCCCGCTCCTTTCTGTGTTAATGTCTACATGCCATTGAATCAAGTCAGTGGTGTGCTGTCATCAGCTAGACTTTATATGTAGGTCAATTGTTCATGCAAATGTTCACATCAAGCTGTGGTACAATTTGTTGGATTGTTTTCTTCTATTTGTATGTATAGTTTTTAAAATAGTGAACAGAATAAAAGAATTGAAATCTATTCATGACAGAACTGAATATCCAATGTTGATGTTACACAGTTGATCTAATTGGATAATGATATGTTACACAGTTGATCTAATTAGATATTGATTTGTTACACAGTTGATCTTATCGGATATTGATATGTTACACAGTTCATCTCAGCTAAATGAAACTGAAGTTATAAATATGTAACTGGCCAAAACATAATAGTTCAGAAAGGCATGGCATTGTAACTGGCCAAACATATTAGTTCAGGAAGGCATAACTATGTAACTGGCCAAATAAAATAGTTCAGTACGGCATAACTGTGTAACTGGCCAAACAATAATTCTGTACGGCATAACTATGTAACTGGCCAAACATAATAGTTCAGTTATATTTTTTTTGTTTTTACAAAGTTATCACCATGTTCTACAGTGACAGTTAATTTTCCCCATTTTATTTTATGACCTAATATGTTTTTTTTTTTTTTTTTTCAAACCTTTTTCTGGTTGATTTGGTTTGTAACACTGAATGTATTCTCTGTTTGTGTCTGTTCTTTTCAAACATAATAGTTCATTTATATTTTTTTTGTTTTTACAAAGTTATCACCATGTTCTACAGTGACAGTTAATTTTCCCCATTTTATTTTATGACCTAATATGTTTTTTTTTTTTTTTCTTCAAACCTTTCTCTGGATGATCTGGTTTGTAACACTGAATGTATTCTCTGTTTGTGTCTGTTCTTTCTCTGTGTTGGGAGAGCAGAGATTCCTCTCTACAGTTGTACAGTATTTCTTGGTCACGGGAACCACAAACAATGTAAATCTGTTATTGAGTAATTATGATCAGATTTATCCAAAATGTGCCGTCCATCAATTGTGTCCCTCAATCCATCAAAATTATGCCGTGCATCAATTGTGTCAACCAAAAAAATGTGTGCCCTCCCTTAATTTTGCCCATTAACCCATCAAAATTGTGCCGTCCATCAGTTGTGTTGACAAACCCATCAAATTTGTGCCGTCCATCAGTTATGCAAATAGCAATAAAAGCTGTGCTATCCAATACTTATTTAAATACAGCTATCCTAAAGCTTATACTTATAGTGCATTTATTTCTAGGCTAGATTTTGCTTTATTAAATAGATCTTTATTGCCAGATCTCTGTAAAAATTACCACGTCCTTTTTATAGTCTCTATTAAACATTGTCTGTAAAGGAATCTTTATACCTATTCTAACATCTTTCTTTGTTTACCCAGTTTCTTGTTGTGATGGTACTACTTTTAATAACATGGATAAATTCATCAGTATATTTGTAGAAATGTCTTTTCTATGAAAAAGTCTTCTCTCTGTATTTGTGAAAATTTCTCCCTTATGTTTGTGAAAATGTCTTCTATGTTTGTGATGATATCTATGTTTGTGATATCTATTTTTGTGAAATCTATTTTTGTGAAAATATCATCTCTTTGTTTAACACAATGCAAGGTTTGTTAAAAAGTTTATTTAATTAATAGAAACGTGATACAGTCATCCCTCGCCACTTTGTGCTTTGACTTTCTTGGCTTCACTCTGTCGCTTTTTTTTTCAAATACTGTATATTCATTACAAAAGTTGATGGAGACAGTAAAAATGATACAGTGCGCGCTCATTTGTCTGAGTCAATTATCCATGTTAGTCGCTGGATGTGAGTAGCATTGGTGATGAAACAATGTCCTGGGTTTTATCTTTTCATCTTCATCGCTTCATCATCGAACAAGTTGCACTATTTTAATTGGTTATTGGTTGTGTGTAATAACTGTGTGTGTAATGCTGTGTTTACCGCAACTCTTGTGTGGCTTTGCCGGTGTATTGATTTAGCCAGGCTGACCACTGGTCACAGAGCCCGGCCGGTTATTACCAGCCGCGCCCATGATGGATCAGTCTATGCATGGGTATTCCAATAAACAGTCGCGCTTGAAGGCTGGTGTTTCGCGAGCAACGATATAACAGTAATTAAATGTTCAAAAATTATATGATATTTGTAACGTCTAATATGTCTTATTTTGTCTAATATATTTGGATGATATGAAGGTAATGGTGACTAAAGGTTGTTATTGTGACTAAAAGGTGTCATTTGAAGTCTAGAGGCTCTTATAATTTTGAAAACGTATTTAGGTTGTAATCAGGTTTTCTATGCTCTAACTTTGAAAATATTAGATTTATAAATAAAGAATCCTACTTCATGGAAATTCAAATATCGCGATAGAGTCTGGAACCGATTGGCCGCGATATCCGAGGGTCGACTTTATTTAAATAGCAGCATTGGTTAACACAAAGCCATAATGTCTATTATTGCACCCTAACTATAATGCCAGCATTAGATTTGACCAAGAAAGAAGGCCTAGAATAGCACCATGCTATAATGGTAGCACTACTTTGGTGTACTAAGTGGCCATAATGTCTACTATTGTATCCTAACTATAATGTCAGCATTAGATTGTACCAAGAAAGAAGGCCTGGAATAGAACCACGCTATAAAGGTAGCACTATTTTGAACCAAGCGGCCATAATGTCCAGAATAATTTCAAGTTATAATCTCAGCACTAGTTTGTACCAACCTGTTTCTCTGAAATGCTATATATGTATTGTCTTATGTGTAATTCTTTATGGTTTTTTCATGTGTTGTAATGATGGATCTTTTTTATCTAATCTATCTTACAGTATGTTTATTTTTTATTCTTTAATGATTACATTATTTAAGCAATACGCTTGCAGCTTTTATTATTGGTTAAAAAGATGTACACTAATTTTTAAAATTGTTCCTTTTGCATTCTATTAATCTTTTTCTAGATAATGCTTGTTTAACTGGCAAGTTTTAATTTTTAAAAAGAAAAAACCCCAAAAAAAACAACTTTAGCCTTGTTTCATCTAACATTAAAATGAAATGCTGTAAGTTTTATTTCCAAACTAAACTCAACCTTTTCTCTCCCCCACAAACATTCCTCCCCACAAACCATGACTTTCCCAACCCTTTGAACAACAGTGTAGACCAGACTGACCGCGGACATAGCTCCCCGTCCCCCAGATACCCTGCGGGGATGTCCAATGCCGGGTATCATCATGAGTACAAAAGAGAGAATTTGTCCCCGCCGCCCTATGACGACCGCATGCACCGCATGCATCGCGATGACGCCAACCCCCCACCCAAATACAGAGCCCATGACTTGTCAACAGCATACCCGCCTATGGAGCCAAGAGACGGGAGCAGAGCCAAGAACTACTCCTACCCATACTAACCCAGAGCATGCATTGCATTTAGGCTTAGTTTGTAAGTAGCACAGACTTTTATCACTGCATGCTTTTTTTTTTTAACAGCATCATTCTATGTGGTGCCTTGTTACTTCATGGGATGGACACTCAACAATTTAGGATACACTTATTGTGCCCATTGAATCGTCTCTTATATTCTACTGATAGATATTAAATAATCTTTTTTTATATTTTTGAATGGAAATCGAAGACTAATTTATTATGATTACCACTTTAAAATAAGACATTAAATATTTAATTTTTATTTGAAGGAAATACATATGACCTAATAATATAAATTACACTGGTTCGATGCAGTGTTTCCAGTAAAATTATTTAGTAAGATAAAGAAATACTGTAAATATAATTTTATTTATGTGTATTGAGCCATCATTACCCCCATGATTTCCATTTTCAATCCATTTTGGTCCGCACTCCCGCACTCCACAGTAACGCTACTGCTTATGCTCAAAATGTCGAGAGATGGAAAGGTTTCTGAAATTGCTCAAGAGGGGGCAATCAAAAAGTTGCTGCCTCATGCAACAACTTAACAAGGATTTTTCAGGCTAATGAACATAGAAACAAAGGATAGAAATCAATTATTTAAACCCAAAGACAGGATTCAAAATTTTCTGATTTAAAAAGGTTGATGCCATTGTAAACATCATGTCTACAAACTTTAAAGTGAATATTTTTTCAAAGAAAATAAACAAATATATTTTGGCTTAAAAAGTTGGCCGATCCCCTGGTGTAACTGGAAGAAGATAGGTTGGATATAGAATTGAAAAAAAAAAAAATTATTTAAATGCTCTCTCAGTGTCATTAACTGTCAATTTCTTTTTGTTGCATCACAGCATAATAGTCAAACATTTTTGCCATCTAATCCAATAACAAAGTATTTGTACCTTTAAATAATGAACATTTAAATCAATTTTTTCCTTTTCTTTATTTTCATAATTAAGACACTAATTGAATATAGCCTTGTGGTTCATTCCCCAATTTTATGTGTGAAAGAATGTTCATCCTCTTATCTACTATCGTCTTCTTATTTGCTAGAAATGTTCCCTTGTGCAATCTGTTATAAACTATAATTTATTTTAAAAATAAGCCATTGAAAAAAAGGACGGACATAATATAGTACAAATAAAAGTTTAAAAATTGCTTGCAACAAGTCCCATTTAAAATTTAAGTCTTCACATTGTTTTGTTTGTCCTCTCTATGAAGTATCAGATTTTTAAATAACTGTAATATCTGATATACATCACAATCCTACAAAGATACCAACTTTAATATCTCATGTGCGTACCAGCAGTGGATTACAAAAAAAGGAAAAATTAAATGTACAGACAAAAATATGGAATGTTCAGTAAAAAAAATGAAATGTTCAGTCAAATAAATGAAATGCTCAGCCAATATAAAGAAGAAACATATTTTGCAAAAAAAAATTTTTTTTCCCATCTTCGCAAGGGCGCCCAACCTACTGAATGAAAAACTATCCTGATAATTTGGAGGCCTGCTGCTTCCTCTTCCCCTCTACCATTGTTCGATTTGTAGAAATATTCAAAACAGCAATTTTACTTTAAAAAAAAAAATCTTATTTTATATAAGTATGAAAATAGGTTTCATCTGGTTGTATGCATTCAGTATTGGATTAAGTGTAAAAAAAATGATGACGGTATGCTAAAAACATGAAAACATAACTCATTCATAAGACAAAAGTTAAAGATGACCCACTTTCCATGCTTGAATTTTGGAGCTTGAGTAGAACATTGAGTATATTGAAATTATATTATCAGGAAATTGATGAGTATATTGAAATTATATTATCAGGAAATTGAACTTTTGTAAGTGGCAATAAATTTTGAAATGTGACTAAGGGATGATCCCTTTAGACAAATAACAGAAATCAGATGAATAAACCCCCACAAAATTTTTCAGCTTGATGTGCCCCTGAATATAATAGCTAATAGAACTATTAACTGAACTTAATGTTAATTTTAAATACCGTGTCATATATAAACTTTTATCTTTACTGTAATTTCTCACTTATTACTTGCACTATTAATTATGAAATTTCATACTCATATTAACGCTATTAACTTAACTATTCAGTATACAATTTTATATACATTCTAACACTATCAACTAAATTAATATCTTAGGCCTACATTCTACCACTATGTTAATTATTAACTAAATTAATATCTTACGTAGGCCTACATTCTAACACTATTAACTAAGCTTAGGCTTAGGCCTATATCTCATGTAAGCCTACATCCTAACACTTTTAACTTATTAACTAAACTAATATTTTACTTTGGCCTATATCCTAACACTATTAATTAAGCTTATATCTCACATAGGCCAACATCCTAACACTATTAACTAAGCTTATATCTCACGTAGGCAAACATCCTAACACTATTAACTAAACTGATATTTCACGTTGGCCTACATTCTAACATTATTAACTAAACTGCTATCTCACCTAGGCCTACAGTCTAACACTATTAACTAAGCTTTAAAACTCACATAGGCCTACATCCTAATACTCTTAACTGTGTTGTCACATACACACTGGATGATCTACATTATTAGTATCTCACTTAAATACTAGCACTATATTATTAACTTAACATATTACTTACTTACTAATTGTAATTTCTCACATATATATTAGAATTATTGTCATCTCAGATAACCACTAGTATTATTAACTGAACTTAATATCAGACATACATATTAGTATCATTAACTGTCATCTCATATAAACACTAGCATTATTAACTTAATATCAGACATATATATTAGCATTATTAACTTTCATCTTATATAAACAATAGCATTAGTAGCTTATCTTAATATCACACTTAAATATTAGCACTATTAAATTAACTGTATTCTGTAATATCTCACATAATATTAACACCTTTGGTTCTTTAATGTAAAAGATTCATTTTATAATATATTATTTATCTCTACAATTACAATTTTTCCAAATAAAATTTACCAATGTTTTTAAAATGTGGCCAGATAGAAACAGGTAGATTGGGCCACCAGACACAGTTTAATCATAGGAGATGCACTCTAAACGTTGATTAATTGGTTCAGTGGACACTCATCACTCTGTTTCCTCTTATAGATAGGGGCATGTCTATTTTTGTAACGTTCATGTATTGTATGTTAGAACATATAGTTGTTGTTGATGAGTTTCCTGATTGGGGTCCTCAGCTTAACAATACATGTTTGGTTGCCCCCTCTTGTCAAATGGTGTGAAGAGTAGTGCTCTTATTTGATTGTGATAGACATTAATTAAATTTTTTAAAACTGCTTACAATTGGAAATTATTTTTGATTGAGAAACAAAAAGATTTAAATTTAAAAGAAATAGCCTATGAGTAGAACAGGGCAGAGAAAAATATTGTGTTTTAGCACGTTTATTTCAAATGTGCCAATGTTGTTAAACCGACATCATCTATACATTTATTATGGAGAGATGGATTGGCATCACAGGGTCTGTGAATGGGGAAGAAAATGGCACTTTTTACCATTCACAAACTATAATTTCATCTTGAAGAGTTTATAGTTATATCCTTGATCATAGTTTTGACCAGTTCATTTAGGCTTGACCAGACAGAAATAGAAGAATTACTCTTGTCCTGGAGGAATGTCTTGCAATGTTATTTGATCTTGTAAAACTTTAAATAAATCAGAGCAAGGATCTAGATACAGGATTATCTAGCATCTGCATAAATAATTGTTACAATCAAGCGAAAAGTTGTCAAAGGTCTTACTGAAGAATGGCTACGATCAAGCAAATCATTTCTGAATAGTCTAACTGCTAAATTTAAATTCTTATTATCAGTGATAAAAACTGTCAGGGACATGAATCAGTATCAGGCATTAAATGAATGTGGCACTAGCTGTTTGTGATATTAACTCCAGAATCATTTTATATGTAATTAATTGAAGCTAACTCTTTTTATCTTATTTTTTTTCTCCTTTGAGGTTAGTCCCCAAAAGTTGTTTCCTCAGTCAAGCTGTATTGTAAAAAGCTGTATTGTAAAAAGCTGTATTGTAAAAAGCTGTATTGTAAAAAGCTGTATAAAAAACAAGCATTAATTTAAATCATTGTAAAATTCATTATATTTTTATGTCATTGTTTCCTTTTATGATGCTGCAATAGTGTTAAATTGATGAGCATTAAAACTTTAATTAAATAAATGTCTTTTTTATTTTTACTTTATGCAGGCGAGTGGATTGGTGATCAATGAACTGAAACTGCAGAGACAATCAACTCACTATGATGATGGACTGAGCAATACCTGGACAACCTGGGTCGTTAACATAGGCATAACTGGGTGAACTTGATTATTATATTTAGATGATCCATTTTAAATAAGTTTTTATGGTTGGAACTTTGGTTTTAGAATTGTTCATCTTCTGAAGATTTCTTTATTCACATTGCAACATATCAAGCTATAGCCAGGGCATACGCTCCAACCATTAAGAGGTTATATAAATTTTAAAACTCAATTTAATTTTGTATAATCTTTTAATAGTTGTTAGTTAACCGGAAAAGAAACACTCTTGTCCTTGCCTTGACTATAGCAAAGAGAGAATTCCATTCAAAAAAAAAAAAAATCTGTACCAGTTGTTTATAATATTTTAAATGGATTCCATTTGTACTATTTAAATAATAAAAAAAATAATTTTTTTTCTATTGAAAATTATGCTCTATACTTGATCAAAACCAATATTCAGATGGCTTGCCAGTAATAAACCAAGCCATGCATAAAAATCCAAAACCATGTAAATTCTGCATTAGTTAGACATGTACCAGACGCAGAGAAGTGCCGGTGCTTACATTGCCCAGCGAGACTACTCTCCTGTCAGCAATTGGGCACATCTCAATAACAACAAGACATAACACTTTGAAACCTCTCATTCAGACAAGACAAAACTGATCATTGCTTACTATAATACACAAACATGGAAAAAGCAGTATCTAATGCAGTCTACCCCTAGCATATTCTAATAGGAGAAATACCATTTTTTTAAATCTTAAATTGTGTTGTACTGTGATAAAATTTAAGAGACCCACGCTTCTGTAGAGGTCAAACTTTACAAGACATGTCATGGAACATATTGTTGTGACCACAGACGAACAATGTGAGGTGAAAAAATAATTTTATGGCCGCCTTATATTATCTTGTCAAAGAATTGGGGGAAAAAAAATTGAGTAATGAATACTTATGCTAAACCCATGTTAGCTCTACAATATGCAACTTTAACTTCTTTGATCCTTTGGTTTCTTGTGATCACAATCATTCACAACATGTCACATTCTGGTTTCATCACTACCAACATTCTTATGCAGGCGTTGGGTTCCTTATTACGTTAACATTTTACATTTATAGGGATACTTACTTTGTTCGTTATTAAACATTCATGTATTTGTTTTGCCTATCATGGGCTTTTAGAGGAGACATATAAGCTTTTTATAATGCTTCAAACAAATTTTGTATACCTTTTGTACCGTACCTTGTATTGAGCTTTGAAACAGTCCCACACCATCTATTGCTTACAAATAATAACATCTAAGGGTTTATGGCTTAACTTGTTTATCTCAGGATGAACTTTCTATATGGCTCCGTTTTGCTTTCACCTGCACCACCAGTGTGATTCATGATGTTTTTAAATATTATCAAACAAATGTAATATAAGTAACATCGGTTCAAAATACTACTTGTAGTTCACCTTCCCCAATCATAAAAAGCTTGGACTTTTTCCACTGAATTTTATGGTGGTTATTTATAGAGGAATTTTTATTAAAAAGTGTTTTTGCTGTGCATTCTGCTATGGGATTTCTTTTTTTTAAATTTATTGATTCCAATCCATTTTTTGCACTTAATTTTGAATTGTGATAATTTGTTGATACCATGTTTGAAGTCACATGACTTGATGTTCCAGATCATAATATTGTGCTCTTATTTGTAAATTTTTGAAAACAAATATTAACAGAAATTATTTTCAGATGTCCTTTATTTGTCAAATTTTCTGATATAAAACTTACAAATGCCTAATTGCCAATGACCTCAGATTTTCATGAAGGTCCTAATCTAACGCCTTACAGAATCAACCGTTTTACTTACAACAACAAGTTTGACAAATTTTTTAATTGCTCTTCAATCATTTTTTTATAACAGCCTTTGAAAAACATATTTCAGTTTTTAATATATAATTTCTTTTGCAATGGTTTTTTGAAATGTCTTTTCTCCTATATATAATGTGTAATAGCAATCTGAGGAAACCAAGTACAGACTAAAGAGTTTTGTTTGGGAACTGCTTAGTAAGGGTTTATTGAGTAGGTCCCATCATAAGCAAAATAATTTTGGAAACATAATTTTTATAGCCAATCAAATGATAACTTCAACTTTGATCTGAACTCGTCCAATATGAAGTTGTTGTTTCTTAATAGATGTTCTTTATTTTTTTAAAATTAACAATTGAGAGAGCATGGAGAGTAATGTTTAGTTTTCCAATTTGTGTAATAAATAATGATGGCAATTTATAGAGGAGCAGACCTGTTTACCCTCAAACTCTTAAAATCGTACAATATCATGACAAAATCATTATTACATTATCTTAAGAGTAAACAAATAAACATAAAGTATTGATAATGTATAGACCTCAAAATCGTACATTGTACGTCAAAATCGTAAGAGCGAACAGGTCTGGAGGAGCAATGCTCCTTGAGCATCACATTTGTGTTACTGATAAAATATATCGCAATTCTACTTAAAATGCATTGTTAAGAATTAACATACTTAAAATGACAAAAGATTGAGAAAGTCAAAGGGATTACATTTTGATGCTATAAACTTACTTTCAAATTTTACAAAATATAATAAATGTTCTGCTGTAAATGTATTTTTTTTTTCAAATATTTTTTGGGGGCACTATTAAAAAAATATTTGAAAGAAATGTCTGAAATTATGACCCCCTCATTATAACAGTTATCTTGGGTCTTCATGAGTTCGAGGCCTTTTTTTGTTCTAAATATCCTTACTAGAAGATTGGGCACTCATAAAAATGAGACCTTATTTGACAAAGTGACCTAATGGTGGGGGAATGGCCCAAAATAACACCTTTGGTGGGAGTTGTATAAATATTAATATAAATCCTGGGATGTGAGAGTGGTCTCAGCATAACACCTGGGGTGGGAGAGGGGCTAAAACATAGAACCTGAGATGGGGAATGGTCTAAATATAACACCGGGGTTGAAAGTTGGGAAAGTGGGCTAAATATAACACTGACACTGTTTGGAGAGGGGTCTAAATATAACACAGGGGTTGGGAAAGTGGCGTGGCTATTAATTTTGTTATATTCCTTTTTTTATGTTTATATTTGGACAATTTATTTGTTCCTTAATTTAAAGCTGCATTTTGTGGCTAAACATTTTTGATGATTTACTGTAATTTAGGCTTTTTTAAACTGAGTTTCTCTCATAAAAATATGGAGCTGTTTTCCAGTCACTTTATCTTATATCCATACCATTTTGTCATTCCCTTCGTTTCCAAATTTATGTGTCACAGAGACTAAACAATTGGATATTTTTATATGCATTAGTTAGTAAGTCTTAGTAATTGGCTGATTACAAGCTTATTTATAACCTGATGCTCAAGGAAATAAAATGTTAACTTTATCATGTGGTTGGCAAGGAGGGTCGGGATGAAGGTCAAGGAGAACTGAGCTTTATCATGTGGTTGGCAAGATGGGTCGGAATGAGCGTCAAGGAGAACGGAGCTTTATCATGTGGTTGGCAAGGTTCACCGAGTACTGGGATTGTAAACAATAAGAAAACTTTGAAATAATTTCTCAGTACTTGGCACCAATATCCACTAGCCAGTTATCATGGTCAGTGGATGTTGGGTGTGTGGAACCAAAGATTATTTTAGAAAATGTTTTACATCTTCAACCACTACATTGTGTTTGGGTAAAAAAAAAGATATTTAACTTAACTTCTTGGTTTTCTCAGATAGCTACACATATTTGATTGTTGGACATTTTTTGTTATTGTTATGCAATTTTATTAATGATTGCACTGACTTAAATATTATAGTTTTGATTAGTTCATATATATCAAACCAAGGTACCTAATACACTTACCAGAATTAGCTTAATATGTTGACATAACGTACAGTGCCTTCGTGAGATTTCTATGTAAAATATTGCTGGTGGATGCTGACAATTCATGGTGGCAATATTAAAAATTCTCATTGCTAACATTGAGTGATAGCTGATGTCGGGTGTTGGCTGACACAGGATGTTAGATCACATCAGGTGTTGGCTCACATCAGTTGTTAGCCCACATCAGGTTTAGACTTACTTAAGATCTTGGCCCAATCAATGTTTTGGCCCACATCAGTTGTTAGCCTCAGCATAATTTCTTGAACTTTTTGAAATACTTTATTTATCAACTCTTGTCTTTTTTTTATTTTACAAATTGTTGGACTATTTCTATATTTAAATACTTTAGAAATCAAATCATTGATATATATCAACCCTGCTCATGTATGTACACATTACTAATGTATTTTTGTTCTTTCTAAAAGGCATGTGCAAAATTAACATTAAAATATTTTGTTTCACACTAAAGATTCTTTAAACATACTTAATTGAGAATTTAAACATTTTTAACAGAATATAATTAAAAATCTATAATAGTTGAAATAAATTTGTTCCCCTGAGTCAGTATCATATTCAACTTGTTCAGTGGGACTGACCAGCAGCAATTTATCCAGTGCTTTATTAATTATTGAGGTTTTCTCTCAATCTCACCCTGTGCTGACCAGTGACTGAGGACTTGCAGATGAGTGACTGAGGACTTGCAGATGAATGACTGAGGACTTATTGACCAGTGACTGAAGACTTGAAGATAAGTGATGGAGGACCTATTGACAAATGACAGAAGACTTATTAACCAGTAACTGAGGACTTGTGGACCAGTGCTAGTCTATGAACAATCACTTTTAGGAAGCACTGTTCTTTCTTTTCTTGTTAACGAATCCCACATTAAATGTGGCACATACACAAATAGAGCAAAGAGGAAGTTTTTGATGCTAAGTGGTTCTTGTGTGTTCATTGCTGTATGTAGGTTATATGCTACATTCCACACTTGTGTTTAGTTTATGGGCTGTGCCCAGTTCAGGTTATTGTACAACATTATGGGTACGTTTTAGGGCTGTGAACATAGCTTTTTTTTTAAATGTCAAGACATTCGAGATACAATAACTGAGAATAGTTTAGTGTAATGGAACTGTGTTATACCTAACAAATTATTCAATTGACCCTTATTTTCTAATGTTTGATTTCAGTGTATGATTATTGTTAACTAATCATTTCCTTTAAGGCTACCAAAATATCTTGGATTTGTTTTTTAATTTACAAAACTTTTCCAAAACTTAAACATCTAAATCCTAATGTTGAACTTTATTCAATCAGATTATACATAGAAATCATATGACAATGAATTTTCATAATATCTTTCAAAGAAAGAATTAAGTTATATGGCCATTTTAGCATCCAATTATAATTTATACTAATCTGTTAAATTAATTTTTTTTAAATTTAAATTAAAATGTATTAATCAAAATTTGTTTTTGTATTAACTTTGTACGTTTTAAAAAAGTTTTGTACATTGATTTTAAAAAGGTATGTGCATTTAAAGTAAAATATGATGTAATAAAGATCATCAATTTGTATGTAGACTAAAAATCCATCTTGTCAGCAGCTTCTTTGCGCCTTCTCTTACTTGTTTTGATCCTGTCACACAGCCAGAATACGGCTCTGTAGCTCAATTATTGTGACAAAACATTTCTGGAATTTTTAAAAAATTTCTTAAATAATTTAACAGACACATAACACGGACACAGAAATTATCTGATGTATATAAATTGCAGTGAGTACATTACACACGCTTTAGCTCATGATGTGCACATTGTAATCTCTTTCACGCTGACAGTAGGCCAACACACACACATAACACTTTATAATAAATTGATGTTTTCTGTTTGGTGCTTTCCACTGCTAATTTAGGTACAATTTTTATTTAGTTGTGTGTACGGTAGACAGTTCTCTTATTTCTGATTTATAATTGACGGGTTCCCCCCATTACTGTTAACGTTTCAAGATTTATTGTGGTGTTCATTATTTAATGTGATCACTTTATTTCAAACTTCATCCCAGTTTCTTGCATGGAAAAATTTGATTTTTAACAAATTTAGCAGGGTTTTTGTTTCTTTTAGTAATGGTGTCCATAGAGGTGAAGCTTTGGACCTGATTGTGTTTTCCTGGCCTTGGGAACCATTGATTTGTTGACTCATGATTTTTGTTTTGTTTTTGTTCTTAGACTAAGGTGTGTTGATGCTTACTTTTCACAATCATAAATTAAGTGTTCTTATTGTGGCCTGCGTTAAATTTAATACGAATGTACAAAAATTCACAATAAATTAAATCAAGTATGCTAAATAAACAGGACTGACTTAAATGGTTGTGTTTTTATTATCCATCTATACATATCCTTCCAGACCTTGTTCAATTCATTTTCATTCCCCCCCCCCCCAAATTACAATTAATCAGAACCTATGAAATATAGCTGCTCTCTATATATTTAATGATCTGTATATTTAAGGCTAATCTTGTTAGAGGCTTAATGCTATTTAATTATAAATATCTTACTGTTCCAAAAATCGCCACTCCTGATTATATGTGGAAATCATACTTTCTGTTTTTTGCATACCAGGTTTATCAATATTTTTATTTTTTTATTTTTTGCTTTTTGCAACTTCACAAGTTTAAAAACTATAATAACTCTGTATTTAAGCACCTTTACATCAATACAAGGTCTATAATTTTAAAATAGTTCTTGCCAAGTATCAGACATGTGCAATCTGTTTTCAAATTATATTTCATCATAAAAGCATGACTCTCAAAGTAGGGATAGGTGTTAATAATAGATTTTATGAAGGCATCATTTAAAAAAAAAATATAGTTATTAGTAAGTATAATTTTAAATTTACTCAATTCCATGATGGTGAGCTAGATAAAATGAAAAATTAAGAATTTAAAGGTGCCTACAAATAGTTCATGTTTCATCAATTATTATTTAATCAAAATGTTTGCTTTCTTTTAATGTGCTAATTTGGTAACAAATTTTCCTGAATAAAAGAGTTCAAAAAAATACTTTTCCCATATTTGTTAAATTCCCAACTGCTTTTCTCTTTTTAATATCAGAATAATAAACAATCTGCCCCACCTATTTGCCCTCATTAATTATATTAATTAAATTAATTTTATTTAATATGAAACTGCAATAGAAAGCTAAAAAAAAACCAAAAAAAACTCATCTTTTTGTTTATTCCTATCATTTCGATCAACATGCCAAAGTCATTTTTTTGGTCTCTAGTTTTTGGAAAAAATATCCCTAAAAATAAATTCTTTTGATCAGGGGCCAACCTTTAACAACTTCACGATTCTGAGGAGGGGGGGGGGGGCCGTCACATTTTTGTGACAGGGGGAGGGGGCACATTTTTGGGGAGGGGTCACATTCTTGGGAGAGGGGGAGGGGTCACATTTTGGTGACAGGGGGAGGGGTCACATTTTTGTGACAGGGGGAGGGGTCACATTTTTGTGACAGGAGGAGGGGTCACATTTTTGTGACGGGTGATCTTAGTAAATGTTCTAGGGCAGGCATTCTGAATTCAAAATTTTTTTTGTTAAGGGTTTGTAAAAGACAGTAGTTGACAGAGAGGTATTTTATAGGGTGGTGGTGCGCAGAGGTTTGTGACGTTATATGTGAGGGTAGGGGCAGGGGTGTCTAACTTTTTGTGACAATGGGGGATGGGAGAAGGGTGTGAAAAATTGCAAAATTTCGTGACGTCATTAATGGATGGCCCCCTCAGTCACCCCCAACTACACTCAGTCATTCCCCTTGACCACAATTACTCATACTACCCTCAGTCTTTCCAAATACCCTCTGTCATTTCAACCACCATCAGATCACTCCAACTAACCCCAATTAAACATCGTAAATCTGACAATATAATCTTTTTAAAAGTATTAGGTTGCATTTTATTTTACTTAATAAATGTTCCGCACACAAACATTTAATTTTGTGATTATGAAATAATCCAGGGGGCGCTCAGGGTCCCAAGGCCCCAAGGGGATGGGCGCTTAAGTTTAAGGTGAATTTATGGCCCCAATTTGTGAGGGGGTAATGACCAGAGAAATTCTGAGAACCACTGGTCTAGAATCACTATATAAATCATTCATTTCGCCTTGATCTGTGTTTTTCTCTCACATTAATTGCGCCAACGGGGAATATCCGAATCACTACAATGTCAGCTTTGTGTCCGCCAATTAAGCCTTCTTGATCTCTTCCATTTTCGGACAGAAAATTGATTGCATAATTTTAATATCTTTATATAAAAAAACAACAACATGAGAGTTGCTACTTATACCTATAGTTGGCTATGTTGGGCATATGATATTCTTTTTAACCACTTTATTACCACCGGGTTTTGGGCATCGATTTTTGCTGACTCACCAACAAAAAACTTAAAAAGATTAAATTTTTGGTATATATCATTCTCTATCTGATTCGCTTTTTAACTTCTCTACTAGATTAACGAATAAGGAAATATAATAATATAGCATTGAAATTTGACGTCAAAGTGACGTCCTGCGGTATTTCAGAAAAGTTCTAAAATTTTTGTTATGACGTCGATATGACGTCCTTAGAGGCTGTCCACAAAGTACGTCACACTCCAGGGGGGGGGGAGGTGGTGTAAGAAAACGTGACACTTCTTTTTTTTAAATTTTATTTCTAGTTTATTTTTTATTTTTTTTAGTAGAATTTAATAGCTTTAAAAATAATTTTCAAAAATTTTGTGTAACATTTGAATTAGTTTTATGTCAAAATAGCATGAAATGCGTATCTCCTGAATGTGTTTTTCACGATTCCTCTCGCTAGGAGCGCTAGTATGCTGTTACGAAGCCTTGTTTCATGTATAGCCTTGCCGGGATCAACAGGAGTCTTCAAAGTACAACTATATGATCTTTATTGTCCATCTTTGCTTACTTGATCGAATTTGCAAAGTATGTCACTTATACTTTGCCTCACAAACAATGTCGAAGAAACATGCAAAACAACACAGAGCTCGGGCTTGGGAGAATGTGCCAACCCAAACTGTTCCAGAATCAACTCAGATACAACGGATCAGTCCTTTGAGAATCGCTGCTAGAAAGCAAATAGAACTCATGGCAGTTATTGCCAGAAGAGAAAATGCACATTCAGAGGATGTTGAGTGGCTAGATGAGGATGAAGTTGATATGTCTGCAATTATCCTTCCAGGAAACGATGATGGTGAAAGATTGATGCCAGTCGTAACTATGGATGAACACTTCACTTTACCATGGATGGATGATGTCCAGTGAATATTTTTGAATTTAACATAATTCACAAGCCCATAATAAACAGATTCAATTAGCACAAGAGTTCGTCACATAATTTGTCAATCTAGTCTTTTTTTTCAGTCAAATTATTTTGCTTCCTTTTTATTATTTAATCACTGGGTGAGGTCAAGTTTCACTAATTTGCTTCTTATCCTGTGTAAAAAGATTGCATAATCGGAAATTATCTAAAACTTGACCTCACCTTTTGTAAATTAAAAGCAGCAGACAAATGATGTGTATTATATAATTGTCTAGTCTATTTTTTGCAATTTTTGTTTTCAAATTCAATCTAGATTGAGTTACTGCTTCAATGAATAACTGTAGATTGAGTTACTGCTTCAATGAATAACTGTGACAACTATTGACAATTAGCTATTCTACTATTAAAGTAATTTTAATAATGTGATAGTTCTTTTAAGTGGAAATTTTATATTTTAATACACTTTAATAGTGAAGTGTGTTTTAGATGAAATTTTAATTACGTGTTAATTAAAAAAAAAATTGTTCGAAAGTGTGACGTACTTTGGGGGGNTGGGGGGGGGGGGGGGGGGTCCGAGATTTGTGACAGTTTGTGGTTTGTGACAGGGGGGAGAGGAGGGGGTTAAAAATGGTCAAAAATATAGTGACGTACTTTATGGACGGCCCCTTGGTAATTGAAAGTGGGTGATCATGACTTCGACGTCATCGGTATTGAAGTGGTTAATAAACGCCAGGCACATTAAAATCATTTTAACCATAAACTTTTAACAACTATCTTTTATTGACTTGTTTACACTGATTTAAATAAAATGGTCGTAATGGTAACTAATATTAATAATCATAGGCGCAAATCAATGTTCCTAAAAATAAATAAAAGTAATATTTAAAAATGATAATAATTTAAATGCTATTTTAGGTTATATAATATAGTATAGGGTCCTAAATTATTAAGTTACTAATATATATATTGAATGCTAACAACGACTAACAAACCCCCCCCCCCCACCTTTAAAATAAAATTTATTAATTTAAAAATGCTTACCCTCACTGATTTTTTTCGCGAATCTTGAAAATCCACATTTATTTGGATATTTCACAGAGTTAAACTTAATGATTAACTTAACTTAATGAGTGTCATTCAACTCATAGTGATTGAATTGCCGTTATTCAGTCAATCACTATCTCCCGCGAGCGTGCACTGAGCGTAAAAGGGGGGGGGGCACTTTATTTATTTTGTTTATACGGGTGAGCGGTATTTTCGGCGAAAAGTAAATGTTACTAAAAAGACTATTCAGCATACTTTAATTAATTTAAAGAGGGGACAGTCATCAATGGGAAAAGTTTGAGTGATATTTTCTTTTGATGACACGAGACGGCTTGAAACAGGGTTCACCAAACTTTTTCACAGCGAGCAAGATAACTGACAATAAATGGCTATCATTTTTTTTATAGTTTTCCTTTTATCTAGCTTGAATACATTGAATTGAATCTGGTACATTGAAAAGTGTGCAAATAACTATATTATTTAAGCACAATGTCATCATACGATTTATAATTAACACCTATCCATGGGCGCCCGCAGGTAGTGGCAAGGTGGGGCACTTGCCCCCCCCCCCCCTGGATTGATTGGATAACAAATTTTTAGACAAAAATTTTATTAAAGTAAAGAGAAAATAAAGAGTAAAATTTTTGCCCCCCCCCCCCCTGGAAAGTTAATCTTTTTTTTTGCCCCCCCCCCCCCCTTAGAAATTTTTCTGCGGGCGCCCATGCACCGATCCCAACTTTAAAAGTCATGCTCTTATGATGAAATATAATTTAAAAATAGATTGCACATGTCTGATACATAGCAAACAATATTATTTAACATGTAGACCTTTATATTGATTTAAAGGTATTTTAATACAGAATAAGTTAAATCCCTGGACTCTATACAATCCAACCATATTAAAAAAACTAAAGGAAAACGATATATTAATTGTCAGTTCAAAAAAAAAAAAATCGTGTTAATTACTAAGAATCGTAACAAAAATCTGGCCAGGCCCTGAGGGGCGGCTGGATCGTGTCAAATTCAGGGTGAGCCATATTTAGGATGAGAATTTCTCACAAATACAACACGTG